ATTTTTTTATTTCCGCTACAGTAATTCTGTATTTAAATACATTTTTATAAGTGCTACAGTAATTCATGCATCATGAACAATGAATTCTGAATCCTCATGTCTGTGCTACAGCAAACAGTGCTACAGTATTGTACTGCAGCAATACTGTAGCATTACGGTAGCATTTACTGTAGCATAAATAGTGAATCTTGGATCATCCCTATAGAGGAATAGATATAGCTTCTATATTATTCTTTTCGAGTGAGAGTAGGCAAAATATAAAAAAATGATAGCTAAACCTTTTGTTGTCTATTCATAGGCATGTCCATCCGGGCCGGCCCAGGCCGCGCAAAACCGGAGCTCGGACCCGGGCCGGCCCAGATTTTTTTACATTTTTTTAATTTTATAAAAATCTCTTTTAATTTTGAAATATACATAAAAATTACAGAAATTGTTAATAAAAAACAATAATATTATTAATAACTTGAAATGACATAAATTACAAATACAAAAAATTATAAAAATAAAAGATGATAAAAATAACTTTTTTATTAATAATTAATAAATCCTTTACAAGTATAAATTTATTTCGGAATTCGTCGCATCACAATAGATGAGTACATCCCAACTAGGTTGGCACCTACTCACCTATATTAATATCATTTGTAACTATTTTTAAAATAATTCATTACAAATTTAAAGCTAAAAAATAAAAAATATAATTTGATGAATATTGTTTAATCTTTATATATATCTGCTAGTCACAACTCTTCAAATTTATCTTCAATTTCAGCCATCCGATCGATGTCTTGCGTTCGCTTCTCGTACATCCACCAATCTTGTAAGCACATCACCGCTTATATAGTATACGGATTTAATCATGCCTTGTGGCCGTCGATCAAACGTCCTACTGTGCTGAAGGGGGATTCCGAAGCTACTGTCGAAACATGCACTGTTAGTAAGTTGCGAACCATGGTGGAAAGTATAAGATATGAAACTGATTCATATACTCTCCACCATTGCAAAATATCTAAAGAATTCCTTGACATTTAACTAAAGAAGTAGATAAAATATTCATCTATTTCAGAAACCTCTAATGATGATCCAAGTTCAAATCCATTAGTTAGCTCAGCTACCATTGCATATCTATCAAAACTTACACTTTTACCTCGGCTTGAGCTCAAAGGCACCGAAGCTGTAGACTGTTGTGCAGCTACACCATGTTTAGTTGCATACTCATCATATAAGGTTTGAAATTAATTTCTAATAGCTAAATAATAAGAGTTAGCAGTAAGGGTGGACTCATCATCTAAGTCTATAATTTGTCCACCATACAATAATTGTAACAAACTTTAAAGACCAATATCCTTCAAACATGGATTAATAAGAACCTCCAAACCAAAAATATGGGGAATATGCCTAAGATACTTATTAAATTTGCTCTCCATTTGAAAAATTATAGCTCCAAAAGTATCATTCATACGATATTTGACAAAAAAATTATAATATTTAAAATTTGTAAAGCAACTAAAATAATAGTTAGATAATAACAGCCAGATAAAAATATTGTAGCATCATAAAAAACTTATAACATCTTATTTAAATTACGTATAATTAGGGGTGTCCAAAAAGCCCGCCGGCCCGGCCTCGGCCCGGAAACCCGGGCCAAGTCCGGGCTCCGGGCAGGGCCCGGGCCGCCTTTTTGGTGCCCGGCCCGGCCAGGAATAGTATTTTTTATTTTTTATTTTTTTTATTATTTTTATATGTATTATATATGTATAATATATGTATATATAATATATTTTTATATATGTATATATAATATATTTTTATATATGTATAATATGTGTGTGTATATATACTCTCTCTTATATATGTATAATGTATGTATGTATGTATATATATACTCTTTCTTATACTATACATGTATATATAAGTATACTCTCTCTTATATATGTATAGTCTCTCTTATATAAGTATATATAAGTATACACTCTCTTATATATGTATAATATATGTGTGTATATATATATACTCTCTCTCTTAGTATATATGTATATATAAGTATACTCTCTCTTATATATGTATAATATGTGTGTATATATATATACTCTCTCTCTTAGTATATATGTATATATAAGTATACTCTCTCTTATATAAGTATATATAGGTATACACTCTCTTATTTATATATGTATAATATGTATACTCCCTCTTATAAAGGTATACTCTCTCTTATATATGTATACTCCCTCTTATATAAGTATACTCTCTCTTATATATGTATAATATGCGTGTGTGTGTGTATACTCTCTCTCTTAGTATATAAGTATAGTATATTACAACGACTACTTCTTCCCCATTGGCCCAACGGGCAATGGCTACTTATGCGATTTTCTCTCTCAAGTTATAACTTATAAATATATACAATATATTTACATATAATATATGTATATATAATATATATAATATATGTATATATAATATATAATTACATAATAATTTGTAAGTATATACTAATACATAATTATATAAAATATAATAAATTTAAACTAATTTTTAGCATTTTTTATCAAAAAAAGAAAAGAAAAAAAATTGAAAAAAATCCGGGCCGACCTGGAGCCCGGCCCGGTTGGGCCCGGGCCCGGACCCGGCCCGGGGTACCCGGGTCCGGGCTCCGGTTTTGCCCGGCCCAGGCCCGGATTTCCGGGCTGGGCCAGGCCGGGCCGGCCCGGATGGACAGGCCTACGTATAATTGTTCATTCATCTTCAGTTATTCCATAAGTGCTACCAGAGCTAGAACTAGAAACATAATAATTTATAAAATCATTTATAATTTTTTTATATTCTATTACCACACTTAACATTGCATAGGTAGAATTCCACCTATAGTCAACATCTTTTGGAATTAGTCTGGGCTTATAATTTTTTCTTTTACAAAATTATTTCCATCTTTTAAGTCTTTGTTCAGAAGCATTATGCATATCAGCAATTGTTCTAACCTTTTCTATCATGAGTTTAATTTTAGTAAATGCACTTTGAACAATTAAATTTAAAACATGACAAATACATTTAATATGAAAAAGATCACCATGACATGGAAATGACAGAGTTGTTTTGATAAAATCAACAACTACATTGTTATTACTTGTATTATCTAGTGAAAGAGAAAAAAAATTCTTCGATCAATTTCTAGTTTCATAAGTTCTTTAATTATTAAATTTGGAACATTAATACCAGTATGTGACTCTTCAATTGCAATAAAGAAAATAACTATTTTAAACATTTGCTAATTTTCATCAACCCAGTGTGCTGTGATACATAAATAACCAGTTTGTACTCTAGATGTCCAAATATCAGAAGTTAAAGAAAATCAATAGTTTAAAATTTTAAAATAAGAAATTATTTTTCCTTGTTCCTCCTGATAATATTTTAAAATATCACGTTAACAGGTTTGACGAGAAAATTTTATAAATGAGGTATAAAAACCATTTCTAAATGTATTTTCAAATTCATCATCTTCTACTAATTTAAAAGGAATATTTTTAAGAATGATAAACCTAATGACACATTTCCTAGCTCGGGCAGTGTCATAATTCCAACTACCGAGACTACCAGAAGAGGAGAATTGGGAAATCATAGATTGTCGGATATCACCTTGAGGATTCTGGCCTTTGTTGTGTTTTTCGATATGACGTTTGAGGTGGTTGGTGCCGCTCTTATGATGAGCTTAGAAAGTCTTGCCGCACAACACATATTTAGCCTTCTGGATGAGGATCCTATCGTGTTCATCCTTGGTGACGTCTATCTTTTCGAAAAAATTCCACACATCGGATCTCAGTCTTTTAGGAGCTCTTGGTGTAGAATCGTCGCCACCGGATTCGGGATTAACACCAGTAGGATCGGTAGGAGTAGCTGTTGTAGGAGGACTGATTTCAAGATCTGTAGGAGATAGGTTTTGCTTTTCATAATCAGATTCGGAAGCCAATTGATGGAAGGATTAGAAAGTATAAGAGATTATTAGAGAGTATAATATTGTATAAGAGAGTATTAAAGAGAAGTAGATAAGTTTTGGTGTGAGGAGAAGTGAAAACCCCCTCTATTTATAGAGGCATCCTCCTAGACTAATGACAAAAAAACTCTCACCATATGACCTTTTTGACCGTTTTTGGGGACAAAACGGTTAAAAATCAAATCTGGTCGTTATGGCCGGGCCGGCCATAACAGTCACCTAAGGTGACCATTGACGCCGGTCCGGGCCGGGTCAAGGTGATTGTTGACGCCGGGCCGGGTCCGACTTTTTAGCTCGCATATCGGTTCATCTTCGGCCGACCGTTACCGCCGGGCCGAGCTCTGGATACGGGCCGCCCGGTTCGAATTTGTTGCCCGAACCAACCTTGTTCCCGGGCGGCTTGGGCTGAGCGCAACGAGCCGGCCCGTACTCGAGCTAGGTTCCAGCCGGGCCGGCCCCGCGACCGAACGGCTTTTGGACAAGCCTATCTATTCTTGTCACCTATGAGAATTTTCAATATGAGAATTTTCAATAGTTCAGAGAGGTCTTAGTATAACTTAAACAATTCACGGCCTTTTCCATGATTTATAAAGTTCCCGAGAGTTTGTGAAATTCCCCCTGAAGTTCATGAGGGTTTTGTACACAAGCACAAAGTTCGGGAAGTGTGAGAAATTTACCCAAAGCTTACAATTACAATATTCGCTAGGAGCCTAACTTCCCTAGCACGCTAATAAGGAAGATTGTAATTGTTAAATCAGCTAGTCAGCAGCTACCTCTATTCTTGAATCAACTAGACAACAACTATCAATTATCTTTTAGACTAGTGGATTATCTTGCAGTACTCCAAATGTAATTGTTATGTAGCTAAAGAGAGAGAATCCTGTATCAGAAGATAAACAGTGTACCCAACCACTTCAAAATGCAGGTGTCCCTTGCCAATGTAGCTTCACAACAAAAATCCATGAAAAGAATGATCAACAAGTTTGAATTATTCACGAAAACATACTCAAAACTCATGAAAAGAATGATCAATAGCTTTGAATTATTCTTTAAAACACATACATACATACATCGAAAAAACCCTGTACTCCTTTCTTCTCACAAATAAACCAATGAAAGAAAACACCACACTTCAATTGTACAATGCCTCTACCAGCCCAAGAATCACAAGCTGAATCCTCTGCTATCTTTATTAATACCACTCCCCTTCATGTCTTGTGTTTGTTGGCCTTCGCTGCTCGAAGCTGAGAGATTTTGGCCATATTCACTGGTTGGAGCACTGTACTCGCTGCTAGCATAAGTTTGGCTTGCAAGGGCCATTTTTCTGAATTTTTTCATGTCTTCATTGTATTGACCTGAGTCATAGTCTGTGGTACTTCCATATGAGCCATAAACTCTGCTGTGTCCTGGCCTAACTCCTTCGTTTAGGTCTTCGAGAGATACATCTCCTTCTAAGGCGCGAACTATCTGTATAATTGTAAGATAAATATATTTCAGTATGGTACTATTAGCATACAATTCAATGACGTATAAAGGAACTGATTTTGACACAATATTTTCCAATTCCAGCACTTAATTGGGTCTACATATGTTGCAAAATTTAGAATCTTATCATTTGGAGTACCGATATTCAAAGAATATTGAGAAAACAATGAGAAAAAAACAACATAACAAATGATATTTTGTGGTGCTCAATGATCATTCTCTATAACTATGAAAGGTGGAGAATACATAAGAGAGGCCTCGAAGACAGATAGGAACAAAACCAATATAACACCCAGTGTTATTTAAGGACAATTTTCCAAATTAAAATACCCTTGAAATGAGTTCTATACAATAATAAACCGAGAAAGATCTTAAACAGTTGATGAATGGCTGATCGGTATATATGAATTTTGATTTAGCATCCCGACAGGATATAATCTCAAACAGAATACTATTAATATGGCTGTCCTTTGTCAATTTTCAAAACTCCATTGACAATTATAACGGTGGGAAATAAATAGAAATTCCATTTTTTGTAGATGCACAATTGTAACTTAGAGCGCTAGGTATGTAAAGAATATAAATTTCGATTTCAACACAGACTGAACCTAGAACAAAAACAAATTGCACCTGACTCATCCTAGGACGGCGTCTTCCTGAGTGACGAACACAAGCAGCGGCACAGGCAATCATACGTGCCATCTCGTTTGAATTGTAGTTATTGCCCAGCTTTGAGTCAACAAGGGATTCGTGGATGCCCTCTTCAAGCGCTCTTGTAAGCAAAGGTCTTGCCTGCATTAAGCAGCAAATGAATACTATCAACTCGTTCTTTCATGGATACTGAGCACACTAATCAAGAAAAGCATAACACTCAAAATACAAGACTAAACAAGCTTGACATTATAATTACGGTTGCTGAACAATTAAGCTTAAAATTAAAATATGAGTAAGAAATCAATAGACAATCCTGATTTATTTCTGTATGCTCATATTGTTTCAAACTTTTTGACGTGAGAATTAGATTGATTTAAACCTACTTTTGCTTGGCCAAAACTAACTCCTCAACTTTGAATCAGAACAAATATTCTGGTTCTAGAGCAATCTAAACAACTTAAGCTCGATTCTTCAGATTATTTACTCTTGAACACCTGATCACGTCATACTATTTAGAATTGATAATTAATAACATTACAAGTATATTAATTGCATCACTTGGTAATAATGTAATATGTAATTTCCTACCTTCTATATTCATTAAAATTGTGATTTTGTAGAAAATACTTCTATATAGCCAATAAGTTTGTCATTAAATTCCTAAATTCTAACATTAGTTTAGTTTGAAATATTTCTAGATTTGTTTAATTATTAACATTTTGTATTTGTCTTAACACTATGCAGTGAAGTGGAAGTTTGAGAATACACAAGCAATATGCATTGCAATAATAGTCAGTAATTTCAAAATTCTAACAAATCTTACTCCATCTCAACTATGCCTTCCACACTAACATTCGAATGATCATATCCAATTCCATTTATGGTTAATTTAAGAAGACACTGTATACTTTAATTTCCAGCCAAAGTAGAACTCATTAAATATCATACTTCTAGCCAAGAATGACGAATCAAATTCCTAATCTAATTTCCAAAACTTAAGAAACTCAAACTGATTATGGTAGCATGCAAGACTGAAGACTCACCCAATCTACCAAGCTATCATCCATGAAAGAATGGTTCGAATCAACAGGACGTTTTCCAGTTATTAGCTCCAGAAGCATAACACCATAAGAAAATACATCAGATCTGTCAGTGAGTTTCCCTGAAGATGCATATTCTGGTGCAAGGTACCTGTAGGCAATAAACAAAGAAATGTTATATGGTGAGGATCTCATAGGTTTAACAGAAAGTTAACAGGGGAACCCAATACAATCTACACAGCATTTCAAACAACAACTAAAGGTAATGTCTATGATTGGTGTAAAGACACGGCAATAATGTCCATTCCCTGCCATAATTCACTCATCATTCACATGCAGAAGCGAACTCATGAAATAAACAACAAAGACATTGCTCTTACCCAAAAGTGCCCATGACTCTGGTGGAAACATGGGTGTTGGTATCTGATGCAATTTTTGCTAGCCCAAAATCTGCAACCTGCAAAAACATCCAATTTTCACAACCGGATCATAATAATAGTAGTAGAAATATGTTTCCAATTTTACTAGAAACACTATGTGCTATTTGCTAAGGTATTGATCTCAGTCGAGTAAAAACATATCCTCTGAAGTTAGTGATATCAGACCCATCTAGCCACTTGGAGATAATTACAGGAACAAACTAATACATGCTGATGATGCGCCTAATATGCCTTCTTACTAGTTTAAGGGATCACTTATTTTAAGCAGAATTTATACAATTATGTAAAGATGTTGAAGAAAGAGAACTATTCGGAACTAAAACAACAAGGAATTTGAAGGAATTTGACTATTTCAGTAGGTCAATGAAGAAAACCCACTTGGTTTACAGTAATTTATACTTTTTCACAAATAAAGGTAGAAGTAAGTGGCTTGTAATTTAAAAGATAGTAGAATCCTATGAGTTTCTACATAAAGAGAAATGTATGTTTAATTGTTATTATTATTAGTTCAATTGGTTCTACCGTTCTACATACTAGAAACATAACACTGATGTTACTTATTTATGCAAGAACATGAAGCCTGAAACATGATCAAGAAGTAATAAATGTAGTAACTACCTTTGCCTCAAAGTTAAAATCAAGAAGAATGTTAGCTGCTTTGATGTCTCTATGGATAATCTTAGGATGACCTGCACATGAAGAAAAAGAAACGCTCCATTTAAAATAAAGCACTATGGCTAAATTGCCTCTGCTAGTGACATCAAGCTACACTTTGCAAAGTAAGAGTTAGATAAAAGGGATAGATGGAACTTACAATCTTCATGTAAATACGCCAAGCCTTTGGCAGAACCCAGAGCGATTTTTAATCTGATAGGCCAATCCATGGTTGGTCTACCTTTACCTGCATAAGTATTCGTGGAAAACAATCTAAGAAAAGATTTAACTAGAAAGTATATGAAGATAAAACAATTAAGAAGTGAACCAATGGGTCACAGAAAAGTATGAACCAATTAACCAGTTAACTTTAAGAAATGATTTCCATTGCAGATATTGGGTCATTCCCATGATGAAAAAACTAGATATTGTCACAAAAGATTGACAATTGTTGCTCCAAGGTAATGATTGAAAATATGTGTAATTGAATACTTGCAAATTAAAACTTGAAACAGTTTTACAGGAATCACAGGTAATCATCAAATTTTTTGATAGTCATCAGTTTTCAATATGATAAATACGGTTCTTCAATCCAATTTAACTACATAATAATTGAATAAAGGTACTGAAATAAAATGCTTACCATGCAAATGAAACTCCATCGTATTATTCGGAACAAACTCATAAACAAGAAGCCTCTTCCCTCCTGAGATGCAATAGCCAACCAAAGAAACCAAATGCCTATGATGCACACGGCTTATAATCTCAACCTCCGCCTGAAACTCTCTCTCTCCCTGCCCACTTCCAGCCTTCAACTGCTTCACCGCAACCTCTTTCCCATTGGGAAGCATTCCTCTATGCACATATCCAAATCCACCTTGCCCAAGTAAATTGGCATCAGAAAAAGCATCCGTTGCCATTGCTAATTCTTCATACGTAAAGGTGCTTTTTGAAAAACCATAGGATACGCTCGGTGATGATGATTGAATTGGGTAATCAGATAGTGAATAGTTTGACCCGGAACCTCCACTGCTGTTTATCATTGGTTGGGAGGTTGGAGCTGAGTGGGGGTTGATGGGTGAATGTGGAGGTTGAGAAGAGAAGGGCGAGGGTTGAGGAGGAGAAGGATATGGAGGCATTTGGACCATATGTTCTGTTGGTGGCCGCGGAGCATTTTGTTGCCATTTTTGTTGTGGAGTCGTATAGAGATCATCTGCGGTCAAATTCACAACACTTCAAGAAGAAGAAGAGAAATACCGCAGAAAAAAAAGAAGAAGAGAACTATAAGAATATTATTCTTCCAGTCGAATATACTTCGAGAACCAATCCAATTTCTTTAAAAATATCTATAAATTTTTCCAAGTTTTGATGTGGAGGGCTGTGAAGCTTTTAACTTCACACAGATGCACATTATTTACGGTTTAATTTATGCCAGGATTGATGTTTTTTCTTTTCCTGGCAAAATAAAGTTGAGAAAGTATCTAAAAATGCAAAGAGAGATTCTTTTCCAGCTATATCATAGATTTATAATTATGCAAAATAAGATTTAAAAATATTTAAAAATCAACAAATAAGCAATTAGAGGTGGTGGGATCTACATTTTCTAAAAGTGCCTAAAAAATACACCCTTGAGCTTAATCTGCATCAATTTTGAACAGACTCCCGGCAAACTAGAGTCAGCAAAGGATCTAAAATTCCAATAGAAATAACCAACATCAAATTAAAACAGAGCGCTTCATAATGGATCTAATCTCTTTTCCATATTTTTACCTTTGAGAGGCTGCGGTGGGCCCGCATAGGACGGAGGCCGCCTCTCCTTCCTCCTCTTCAAGCAGCAAAAACAAATCACACTGAGCAGCAGCAAAACCACCACCCCTCCAGCAGCCAACCCCACAACTAGCGGCGTAGAGATCGGCGGCGACGACGGTGACGACGAATGCGTGGAAGGCGGCGATCTGTCCGCAGGCCTCCCCGGCGTAGACGGAGTCGACGGCGTCGTCTGCGAACTCCCTCCGCTTCCGCTTCCGCTTCCGCTTCCGCTTCCGCTTCCGCCGCCGTCGAAGAAAGGCGCCGGCGGCGACGGAGGGGACGAGGAGGAAGAGCCCGGTGGCGGGGGTGAGGACGGGGAGGGGGAGGTCGGCAATGGCGGGGACGGGGATGCGGTTGGGGCGGCGGGAGCGGAGGCGAGGACGCGGG